AATGCCTCTTTTTATGGGATCAGTCATTATTTTACGCCTGGGGAGGATCAGTTTGAAATGTTTTACTTAGGAATTAATGGGACATTGGATCTGATTATTAAGGAATTATTTTTGCCTTAGCTTTCAGCTAAGATTTAAGGGGATCATTCTCTCTAATTTATGAAGGGACCTAGTCCTCGATAGCTCCCAACGTAAATAGGACACAGTTTATGACGTCCTCAAAGGACGTAGCCTATACGGGCCCCATTTAGCATATACTCGTTATAGTTAAGTAACCAGAGTCTAGTCCCAGGGCCCCTTATTCGCCATCCTAAAATTTGAGGGTAGAAGCGCCCTGGAACGAGGTTGGTAAAAAGCAATAGAACGATGATAAAGCCTGAGTATAGTTCTGTAGGTTGGTAGGAGAAAGTAATTTTAATTTACCCACATTTTCTAGAATTAAAAGCATCTCAAAATATACGTTGGATCCAGAATTGCAAGGAACTGTTTTTGTTATGACACAGCATGGTTTGGTTTTCAAAGAATTGTTTGACGATGTAATTCAAAGGGGGAAAAAACATTGAAATACCAACCATTTTAAATGGTTAAAGTTAAGTGTCGTATTTTTTCAAGCTCTATAGTTGGCATAAAACTCGCGAGACTGTTTAGTTTGAAATTAAGAAAAGGGAAGCTGATTGAGTCACGTTGACTAAAAATTTGTATAGCCTAGTTTAGCTCAGTTATACAAATTTTCGTTTACGGTTTTTTAACCATCAGAGTTTAAAGCTTGACAAATAAAAAAATAAAGTCAGTGAATGAAAACTTAATTCGTGTCGAGAGTGAATCAGATGTGTGTTGTGACGCAGTTAAGAAATATCTGAGATGCTACCAGCGCCTTTTCTCATGTTCTCCTAAACTCCCATCTAAGTTTTTACCCCGGCCACAGTTCACCCGATACTGACAAATTTATTCATGACCCATCACCAATTTCACCCGTATTATGCCCTTTTTTTTTCCTTTTTTCAGCCTGAGAAAAATATTACGTTTTCCCACTTGCAAAATTTTATTTTGCGCCTCGGTGGACTTTTGATGGAAGTCAGAAAGCTTTGCTAGTTACTGGGTCTTGACTGGATGTTTAGCTTTAATAAACAACAAACGAGTGTCTTTGTAATTCCTGCTCCCGCTTCCCGCCCTCCCCGGCCCCTGTTCTCCCAGGCTCCCGCCCCCTGTCCCCTTCCATTTTAGATGACGCAAAATATGGCTCTCTGTAACTAATATATTTCGTTTCACGTCAACTCAGCCTTTAGGATCAAAGACACATACACTTATAATTAGTCTCTGGAATTTTTTGATGGCTGTTTGGCACATTATTCAGCATGTGCTCCTGGAATATGCAACCGAGCTGCGAAAAAATTTAGGTTTTAAATATCGAGCATCTTTCCTTAAATAGCTGTGGATGAACTGGAAAAAAAAAGCAGGAGGAGAGGGAAACAAACATTTTTTCACGCATATTTTTGTTATTAAAAAAATTCGTGTCTGTAAAGGCCCAGAACTTGTACTGGCCGGAACCACTTCACCCAGCGTTAAAAAGGTGAAATCTCACGCCGTAGATTTGCTCTCATGAGCTGAAAAACAATGAACGAAAAATAGAATCGGCACAAATCATTCATACACTTTGGACGTTTGATTAACCATTTCAGTAACCTATTTGACGTCCGAAGTCAATACTCAAATTCTCCCAGCGGAAATCACCACTCAGAGGTCAAACGAGGTCAAACTGGCTCCTCCCCCTTACGCCAGAAAAATTATTTCGAATTTATTGCGTTGTGTAAACCATTCTGGAGGCGGAAGAGACTCCACCATGTGTAAGTTGTAGAATAAGGTAATTTTCGATCGAGTGTTGAAAGTAATTCAGGATTCCATTGGTTTTGATTTACTTTGCTTTGTGTTTGCTGCAGAAAACTCACCCCACCCTCTCAACCAATCAGATGCAAAGTAAAATCCAATCGCACCTTGGTCATCTGCGTTTTCCCGCTTTGGGCGGTACACTTGTTTTTAACCGAGTTGTCATTGGCTATTGACGTATTTCCTTTGCTCTGATTGGCCCTTGTACTTGCTTTGGTTTTGATTTACGACACTTAATCACAAAACCCTCACTGACCATAATTCTTTGAGAAACCTCATTCTATGTTAAGAGACCATCAGGAACCGTCTATGAGGCTACATTTCAGAGAGAGACTTACCGATTTCCTCTCTTCTAACGTGAGTTCCTCTAGTCCCATAACAAACGCGACCTTGGTTAGCGCGCATTCGACCGTCATGTCTCCCCCGAGGACTACTCCTAACTCAACAAGGCCCTGTGTGAATAACGAATCACAATCTAAAACTCGGACATTTTGTGGTTTTCGAGATTTGTTTAGCTTTAGTTCTGTAGCGGGTACATCTAAAAAGCATATCTTGATGAAAGCAAAAACGGCAAACGACCAGCTCGTTATCCTTCTATTAATCTTTCCTGGTACTGCCTAAGTCTTTCTTAAAATCTTTCCTAATATTTTCCTAGGAAATCTAAGTTCCTTCTCCTCAAAATTCTCTACAAAGCTGACGAGAAGATTGAGGTCAATGGAGAGTGTCAGTCACCTTCCTTCCCTCTCCCTTTAAATACTTAAAAATGTACACAATGAATAAGGTCCTGGAAAACATATTCTTACAAAACTGCATTAGGCATTTAGTCAGTACCTTTTCCACAAACTCGCTAGAAACATCATGTGGCCCCCCACGACAAGGACAACAGGTGACAATGACCACACCCTTGTCCGTCGCTTCTTTGACCGCCTCAGTAAGATCAGTTCTCAAGTCTGGTATATTGCCACTTCCATATGTTACCAGGACAACACCCTCAATTGGAGGCTCTAAACACCCTTTTATCTGAATATAAGCAAATAGAAGGTAACAGAAAGGATCAAAAGCTAGGCAAACATCATTTGGGTTTGGAGGGCAAATCCAGTGTAAATTTTAAACCCTTTGTAACTTGTTTTCTTTGCTCTAATTAATTCTTTGCTACCTGGCATTAATTAGCATCCATATTCTCCATACTGATCTCTCAACATTTCCTTTTCATTTTTTGTTGGAAAATCAAGAGCTTCTAAATTGGTGATCAAAGTTTTTCTACATCAATCTTCTAAAATGACATTACAACATACCATTTGTATTGGGATACCAGGGAACATAGGAAGTAATGCTATGTTTTGGCTCATCTTTGTGTGGAGTGTGAAACATCCTTTATGCCTTGGATCACCAGAATAATTCCATTCAACTAAGTAATGACAAAAATTATTTTCAATAAATACTGGTAGCTGGTCAACCTGTTAAATTAAAACAACTGTGATTGCATGCTACACAAGCAGAGCATGGTAAAATCTGTGCAATGAGCTGCTGAAACTGGCAAAAATTAGGTGCTAAAATGCTACTAAACTACTTTTAAAGGGCTACTTTTATAAATAAATTTTATATAGGGCTTATCAGATCAATGACTCTAAAGCATGGCTCTCTTGAAAGGCAACCAGTAAAAGTACAAGTTAGCTTGGCAAAAAGGCAATGGCTGGAACTGATGAAATCTTTCACAGAGGCTTTGGTACTGTCCTGCTAGCTTGGTTAGTGTACAGAACAAGACATGAGCATACACCACAGACAGAAGAAATTAGTTATAAATAAACTCATTACCATCAGTAAAAGGTTATGCACTTACTGCCTCCATTATTGCTTAGTTTTGCCAGAGGAGGATAGCTTGGTGAGTCAAAAACAGAAAAACTCTTTGCATCTACTTTGGTTGATTTATTTCCTCTAAGAAGCTTTCCATTAAAGAAAATTGTTACCTGTAGAGGGGGAAAGTTGTTTCTTAGGTGCCTGATATATAAGTGCAAAAGTACATTAAAATGGGTTTTATTCAAGTCAAAATCGCTTGCATAGTAATCATTTCCTTTCACCTGGCTCACTTTTATCCAGCTTAATGCTACATACATTTACCCCTTCCACCCCTGAGATCTAGTAAATCTATGTTCCTACCTCTGAAACTGCATAGTGCCCAGCAAACAACAGTGCACCACCCAGGTTATCTTTTGCATCTGTCTCTTCCTCATAAATTGGGGTCTGTGATAAAAGGAGACATGTGAAGGTTTTAATGAACTTAACTGACCATGTCTCTGTAAAGTGAAAAATAGTATTTGACCAGAAATAGATACTAGCACAGCCCAGAACCTATTGTAATGAGATTTCAAAACTTATGCAGAAATCCTAGATTCAGGCAATATAAGGGTTATTTTTTTATTACTCACAAGAAAATTAAAAGTTTTGTATACTTTCTACTCAATTACAGATTTTAAAATTCAGGTACTTCACTGCTTCATAATGCAATTGAGTGTAGTTTTAGGGTGACTTTACCACAGGTTCCGTCTATCTCAGATGCCAATATTTTTACCCACATGATTCCTTGACAATCTTTTGATCTTGAATTGTTCTATTAATCATACTGGCACTCAATCAGCCTACAAAATAACACTTGGAAATTTTAACATGGTTTACCTGTGCTCCAGTGAGGACCACAGGTTTCCCAAGATTCTCAAGCATGAAAGACAGTGCTGATGCAGTATAAGCCATAGTATCAGTCCCATGTAAGATCACAAACCCATCATAGTCATCATAGTTGTTGGCAATCTCTGTGGCCATGTCAATCCAGTCCTTTGTGCAAGTATCTTTTGATTCCCGTATAGTACCAGCCTTCTTGATATCATACAATATTTTGCTGTTATCCTGATCATGTACACTAAACAAAAACCAGTCAAATAAGCCAATTTTTTAATTATCTCAAGTGTAAGGATGAGAATAATTCAAAAACATTACCGGGTATGTACTTGTTGATCATACATTTCTAACAGTTCATCATGATCAGTTGTTGAATGCCAAGTCTGTAATTTCTTTAGTTATCCATGAGATACCCAAGATCTAAATTACATATATAGTTAACATTTCCTCCACTTTATGGATATATTTTAAAATATTAGTTTTGAAAGTACAGCATTCAACAAGAACCTCCAAGTGATATTTTCTTCCCTTCTCATGTACCAAGTCTGGCAAAAGTTCTAACAGCTTCCCCTTGCAGAGGCACAAATCTAATCTGCCTGAGCTCAGTTGTTAAATTAATCTTTAAGATGGAAGGCTCAACAATTGAAAAGTGTATTTCAACAAAAGAAGATTTATTTTAATGAGCTTGCAAGCTTGAGTCCCCATCAGGCATCAAATCTCAGATCTTCAGATTCTGAAAGGTAATACTTACAGCATGGCCAATCTCTCTGTTACACCCACTTTTCTTGCTTGAGGCACAGTGAAAGCAGCATCATGAAGCAATGGATGCCTTTTCAACTCTTCAATGAATAAGTCCAAGTGTAGAATGCAAGGCTCTGAAATAGGAGGATTTTTCCTTTCCACTCACTCTGATTCTCATTGTTTTTTCATGCCATACACACTTCATGATTGGAAATGATGCAAGATATCTTTATCAATTTCACCTTCACAAGGGAAGTGACATGCAAAACATCTAAAACTATTAAGTCGATGAAAAATTATAAATTAATTGGTATCATACCATTTTCAGAGAGCTTTTTCATTCCAACTGTTCCTCCAGTATATAGAACAAGGACCAGTGAGGACTTGGCAGGCGTCATGTCACTCATAACGAAGAGATGGAGAATCTGGAAGCAGCTTATTGAGAGGAGTACTCTATAAACTCTCTTGCGCACTGCCTGGTGTCACTTCAGTGACTTCATACAGCCTAAAGATAGAAGCAAGAGTAGGAACAGGAAGCTAAGCACAGCATTTTCCCAAGCATCCCCCCCGTCACATCACCTCACAATCCCTTGAACCCGTGTAATTAATTGAGGAGGTGATCTGCCTCCCCTACTGATAATGGTTGATCGCAATAGGCCACCTCCGGATAAAATAACAGTCGAGAAATATAGCTTAAAAAACGACATAGGAACAGTAGAGAAGAAGTCTGAATTAATTCATCCAGCACAAAAATGCATAGATAACGTTACCTAAATTTCCTCACAATAAAGTTCGACGTACGACACCATTTTCGCTTTCTGTCTTTGTCAATATTCTTCAAAATATTGTACAGCTTACTTTTATGACACTTTCTTTAGCGGTTACTAACATCAAATCCGTGACCCATCCACTAACCCCACTTTTTTAGCTCATTTGGTCACGAAACCACGTACAACATGTCACGCTACATAGCCACTGTGCGAACTAAAATCCGCTGGCCTGGTACAGAGGAACACCGGTTAATATGTACATACCGTGAAAAGTGTATGCAGTGAATATGTCACGCAAACGACAACAAATAAAACCTAGAAATTGGAATTACTCATAATGAAGGCTTTCCTTCTTAATAATCAATTTATATCTCCAGTCTGCGTCTGGAAAAGCATTCTACCGTTCACCGCCAGCATCCACCAACATTATAAAAGAAGCCGGGAAATCGAGAAAATTTGGAATCATTTCGAAGTTCTTCGCAAATGTTTGGGGATACTCGGAACGGGTGGATGACATTACATTCGCCAAACTTCTCTGCGGTTGTCGTATTTGAAAAGTATTTACGAAAGGACAAATACCATCAGAGAGCACGTATAAATAGAAAAGTACATTTATAGAAATAAAATCCACTTTTCATTTTGCAAAAGTGAGGATTAATGAGCGACTGGTGGCATGCAAAGAAGTTTGAATCCACATCACGCGTTAAATTCCTCACAAATGATCGGAGCAGTTCTCTAATTAGTGTTTTATTTTCAGTAGAGAATTAAAGAAAATTGAAAAATTTATTGTCTAGGTAAGATTATTAGTGGGATACACATCAATAAAACCATCACAGCACTAGTTCAATTCTGAAGCCTAAATGTTTTCTAAGATATGAAAAAGTTGAAATTTCGTGCGTCAGAGCTTGCCATCGAGGGCGAACTACCTGTCAAAGTTTGAAACGGTTTGGTTACAGAGCTGACACCGGCCTATTTACAAACACCAAAGGTGAGAAAGTATTGCATCCTCCTGTTTACATGTGCTGTGCGACAGAAAAACTCTTGTTGGTATTTCTGTGTTACATTCTCTGCTGTAACAATACAGCTTTCGAAAGCTGTTTAAACGCAGATCATGAGAAAGTAGATATTAAAAGAGCGATTTGGCTTTTTGTAATGCTTCATCACCACAAAGCTTTGATCGGTGAGTTTTACCCAAGATGGAGGCAATTTTTCATATCCTTATTGCGGCCAGTATTGTTGCTCTTGTCTCAGGCCACGGCCGGCTTATTGATCCACCCAGCAGGAACTCAGCATGGAGGTACGGTTTTGAAACGCCGAGGCAAGACACAGATAATGAGCTTAACTGTGGCGGGTTTAATGTGCAGTGGTCTACGAACAAAGGAAAGTGCGGTGTGTGTGGAGACGCCCATCACTTAAGGCCTGGTAAAGCTCTTTATACCCATCCCGGAAAGTACGCGACGGGAACCATCACTAAGACGTACAAAGAGGGACAGGAGATTAAGGTGGTGGTAGACGTAACCTCCAACCATCAGGGATACTTCACCTTCAGTGTGGGCGACATTGGCTCTCCTCCCATAACTCAAGAGAAGCTGAGCTACGTGTTGAGGCAGCCCAATGGCGACACCAAGTGGAAAATCAACTCGCACGGGAACGACGTGTTTACTATCAGGCTAAGACTTCCCAGGGGCTTGACATGTGATCACTGCGTGTTACAGTGGTGGTGGCGTGTGGGAAATAACTGGGGGTGTGATGGAAAAAGAGACTGTGGAATGGGTAAAGGACCACAGGAAACCTTCGTAAACTGCGCCGATATTAGGATCACGAAAAGCGACGGAAGTGTGCCACCACCGCCTGCTCCAACCCGCCCCCCGCCACCTACAGAGGCACCTCCGGAGCCTCCCAAGCCTACCAAGCCCATGCCCACCAATGCTCCTAACCCGGAAGGTTGCAGGTCAATACCTCCGTACAAAAGTAAACAAATGGACGACTGGTGTCGCAGAAATTGCGCCACAGGATACTGCCCAGCAACTCACTGCAAGTGCTCAATGTAAAGAAGATCCCCATTACCTGAAGCTTGCATTGAATAAACTTGACAATAAGACTGTACTCGGGTTTGACTTTTGATTTCATTCGATGTATCTGTGGGTTAATAAAATGTATATCAAACCATTGAAAAGACTTATGTGTTTCTTCGAGATGACTGAGTTGTCTCTGCTTTGCGTTCAACTTCATATTTCATCGTTACCAACATACCTGTGATTCCTTCTCCTCCTCAGCCCCCCACACTGCGAACTAAATATTTCCTGAAGATTTCTTAACTTTTAAACCACACTTTACAATGAGTCAGTTTAATTATGACGAGTAACTATACATTTGTAACCACTCTTTTTCCACCAAATCACTGAGACTGGCAAATTTTCGAGGAAAACCTGCACTGTTTTATTCTTAATGAGAACTCCATGGGCCTTTTCTGACCTTTTTTAAAGGCTGGTATTTCATATGGAGGTCAATTTTGATTCTGGTGCGTTTCCTTCATTGACACGAGATTTAATATTTAAGCACCCTTACACATGCCCGTGCGAATGTATATCACCACTCTTTGTGAGAGGGGTGATAACCCATAATAATAAGGATCATAAAATTATCCTTACGACGGTCAAGCGTTTAAAATGCAACCAGCGGGGGGAAGGAGAGGAGAGCGATACGTAATTTCTGCCGACGGCTATTTTTTTTGTGTGTATACGTTTCAAAGATGTGCGCGACGCTTGAGCGCGAGAACAAACATGATCTTATTTTCGCGCTCATTTAATAAATCTTCTGCAGCTCTTGTTCCATCCACATGACATATGAGAGAATAAAGGGCCTGTGGCCAGACTAAAATTGGTGTGAAACCGTGGAGTCTAAACAGAATTTGGCGGTTGGAAAATAGTTTTTGCCCCATCTTCTCATCGGGCAAAACTTTCATATTAATCTAACTTTTACTATACCTCCTATTTCGGCATTAGGCAACGATTTTGACGCCAGAAACTGAGTTTAACGTAGAACTGTACGCAAGGATTTGGAAACGACCACGAGGATTAAGCAAAGACTGTTTTTTTTCTCTCGTTTTCTTTTCTTCCACTTTTCTTTTTTTTTGGAGGTTTTTATTTAGTTATTTAAGACACGTTTCCCGAAGGAACAAGCAACAAACGCGAAAATTACGTGCGCTACATTGATCAACTTTGCTTTTACTAGCATTAGAAATTTTGAAATGTAAGAGTGCGAATGGCCCTCGCATAAACAACGCTCATCTAAATCAGTTTAAAACCCTCCACTCTCCAGTACCCTCTCTCTTCCTAATTTGCAAACTAAACAACACCTATGTATGTACCTTATAAAATTTAAATGCCTACTTTTTTGTGATAAAAATTTAATTCGAGCTCAGTTTATATAAACACGACTATTTAATTTTCCGGCATCATATCTTCGATTCTCCACAATAACCTGCGTTTTACTCCAAACGAAATCAGCATTTTTCGTGATATTAAACGTGATATAGAAATGTATCGTCTCTAGAACAACCTTTGGCTCTTGACTATTCGCCATGTGTGTAGCTAGATCTCAACTGTGTTTACATCTTGTGCGCTTTTATTTACGAACCAAAAAAGTGTGAGTGCACTGTTTGCATATCCAGTACATATGTCGTCCAAACGCCAAAAATTCTGAGCAAGGTTTGAACACATTCTACTGATGTTAAAATAAGCGGACAGCCAACCTGTTTCAACTTTACAGACCAGATGACAGTCGTCAACCCACGTAAGGGCGTTGCGTATGAGACAGGGGGAGGGGGAATATCCGCCTGTGATCCCCTCTTTGTTGTGAAAAAAGTGATACTTTGTAAAAGAGCACTTTGACGTGCTTCAGAGCGTTAATGCGACACTTAAGAATCCCCCCCCCCCTGCCGCCTATGCGCCTATCACGTTTTAAATTGACCTGCTGCTCGAATGAGATCACAAACGCTAAGTAGGTGCCACACTGAGTTTTCGTGAAACATGGCAGCGAATTTGCAAGTTTTTATCGTACTAAACGTTATCACTTTAGTTCTTGGTCACGGTAGCCTTGTCGACCCAGCTAGCAGGAACTCGGCTTGGAGGTTCGGTTTTGATACACCGACGCAGCATACCGATAACGAGCTGAATTGCGGTGGCTTCAGCGTTCAGTGGAACACGAACAAAGGAAAGTGCGGCGTGTGTGGAGACGCGTACCATTTTAAGCCTGGTAAGGCTCTCTACACTCACCCTGGAACGTTCGCCACGGGAACCATCACTAAGACGTACAGAGAGGGACAGGAAATTACGGTGATGATAGAAGTTACCTCCAACCACCAGGGATACTTCACCTTCAGGGTGGGCGACATTGGCTCTCCTCCCATAACTCAGGAGAAACTGAAATATGTATTGAGGCAGCCTAATGGCGACACCAGGTGGAAAATCAACGTGCCCGAAGACAAAATCTTTGAGATCAAGCTGAGACTTCCCAAGGGCCTTACATGTGATCACTGCGTGTTGCAGTGGTGGTGGCGCGTGGGAAACAGTTGGGGATGCGATGGGCCTAATGACTGCGGAATGGGCAAAGGACAACAGGAAACTTTCGTAAATTGCGCCGACATCAGGATCACGAAAAGCGACGGAAGTGTGCCACCACCTCCTCCAACACGGCCTCCCCCACCCACTGAGAAGCCTCCGAAGCCTACCGAGCCTCTGCCTACCAATGCTCCTAATCCGAAGGGCTGCAAAGCCGTAGGCCCCTGGACAGGTAACAAAGCCATAGACGAGTGGTGCGTCAAAAACTGCGCCAAAGGTAACTGTCCAGCCAACATGTGCAAGTGTCCGAAGTGAAAGGAACTGTAGTCTGAATGACGTCAAGTCTCTCGCTGGTATAAAGATTAAAGGGGCTCTGTGTAGATTAAGGGAAGTAAAATGTATGGTTTGGTAAATATCTGCATTTTAATAAATTCAAAAGGTGTGGGATACTTGTATAAATTTGTTTCAACTGATATTGACAGCTGTTACGCTATGTTAACCCTTTGACTTCTAGGAGTGACTAGCATTCAATTTTTCCTTACAACATTAGGGTCACGAGAATAAAGAAAATGATCGCCAACTAAAAAAGCTGTTGATTGTTTAACAAATTCTCCCTGACTACGCCTCAGGAAATGACTAAAGAATAGTAGGAGAGTATGCACACTGATGTTAGGGTGTAAAGAGTTTTCGACAATGATACTGTGGCCTTATATAAATCGATAACTGTTTTAATTGGTATTTCTCAAAGTCTCGTTAGAAAATCAAATGCTTAAAATTTGGATGGCTGATAACTTTTGCTTTGAAAGCTTTTCCGTCGATCAAAATCAGTTTTCCTATCTAAAAAATGAAACGATGGAAAGCCGATCGTAATTAGACACGGATTGAAGCACTTATTTACGTATTTATTTTCACAATGAAGGAAATTTACAGATCTAATACATGGCTTGCAGCGCGATTCAAAAAATACCCAGCTGAGTATATATATATATATTGCACGCTTTGTCAAACCATAAAAACGCCAAAAAAAGAACGAAGCTAATATCCAGCCTCCTTGACCAAACAAACTTGGTCAATAATCCCGAGCCCATCTTGCCCGCTCTTTTTATTCTGAATGAATAATGATATCAGCAATGGCTGAAGAAAATTCGGATGAGGAAACATATTCCGAATATCTTTTTTGTTTGCTCTTGAATTACCAATTTAATAGGGATTATAAGGAACATGAGTTCCATACAGGGATTTTCTTCGCATTTGAAAATGATCACAATTCTTGAGATGAATTCCACGTTTTTATTTAATTCTGACATAATCAGGGAGTAACAATCTTTTAAGAACTATCTGCTGCTATATCCGGGTAAATGATCTTCAGATTAAGCAAGCCGCAATTTATTTACCTAATATAAACTTAGTGCATATACGTAAAAATTCGCTGCCTTTCAACACTGTTATTCACATTTACAGTGAGTGGAAGGGCAATAACCCGCTGCGCAGTTAGATGCACACCAGACATCCATATTGGCATCGCCGGTCCAGGCCCCTGTGGCTTTGCAGACTCCTTGAGGTGGTAAAGTTGGTGGTGCTGTGGCGCCAGGGCCTTCTGTTGGGGGAGGATTCGTTGCAGGCGCATCTGTATTGGGTTTCTCTGTCATGGGCGCGTTCGTGTTTGGAGCTTCTGTAGCACCCGGTCCTCCCGCAGACACAATCTTGATATCCGCGCAGTTAACAAAGGTCTCTTGTTTCTTGCCCAGTCCTACTCCGCAGTTGCCGTTTTCGTCACAGCCCCAGTTGTTTCCCACAGTCCACCACCATTGCAGTACGCAGTGATCACATGTCAGACCTCTAGGAAGGTTAAGCTTAATCGTGAACTTTCCATTTTGGGACGAGTGAAGCTGCCATGTGTTTGAGCCATCTGGCTGTAACAGAACGTATGTCAACTTCTCCTGAGTGATGGGAGGTTTTTCCAGTTTTCCAAGGCTGAATCGAAAGTATCCTTGATGGTTTGAGGTAATATCAATCACAACTTCGATTACTTGACCCTCCTTGTAGGTCTTTGTTATAAAACCATCACTTGCGTACTTTCCAGGGTAGACATACTTGGGGTTTTTGTCGTGATACGCATCACCGCACACGCCACATCTCCCGTTGTTAGGCCCATTCCATTGAACGCTGAAACCTCCGCAGTTCAGCTCGTTGTCTGTGTACTGTCTCGGACGGTTGGGGAAAAATCTCCAAGCAGAGTTTCTGCTGGCAGGATCTATCATTCTTCCGTGGCCAGCCACAGCGACTATCAAGCAGGCAGTTGCGAAAAGGCGAACGATTTCTTTCATTCTAATCTAAATTGTCACAAACGTAACTGATGATACTCGGGTTGACCCGGCTAAATCTCCTTAGAAAATGAACTTACACAAGAGAGACTCAAGTTTAAATAAAGTGCTACTGAGGCTAATGAAGACTCTTTATAAGTATCAAACAATAGGGTGACAAATTGCGTCCTTGAAAAGAAAAAAATAGATGCATCTACACGTACGCTATTCCGGGGATGAA